GGGGGGGGGGGGTGTTAAAGCAGGCAGGAAAGTCATCAGCTTTCTCAAGCATTTAAAATAAGAGCTGTGCTTACCAGAGTTTTTTTACCTGTTGTTTAAATCAAAAACAAAAAAATGAAAACTCCTCCCTTCCAGCAAGCTTTTCTCCATAGTATACTGACTTCTGGTTGCGGATATCTCAGTAGCTGGATTGTGATGATCCTCTGCACATAATGCCCTTAGGAAAGCCAAGAGGGCTGATTTTGTCTTTCTTGGACCCAGAGAAAAGGTGGTAACTTAGAAGAGAAGTGAAAAATTCCTTAGCTCATTAGTAACCCCTCCATTCCTCTTCTCCCTCAGTCTTCTTCACAAACTGCATTTTCTTGCATTCTTTAATTGCCTGAGCCTAATTATTTTAGCCTAATTAAGGACTAAATCCTCCTCCATGCCCCCCTTAATTTATTAGCAAATCTAAATTACAAGTTATGTACTGAAGTGTGAAGTCAGTTTAGTTGAGTTCTCTTCACCCCCTCCCTCGCAGGCACATACAACTTCCCATTCTACTTATTCTAATATACATCGCTGTGCTTCTTGAAAAACACAAGGTGCAAATGCTCCATTTGAGGAATCCCATAAGTAATTAAAATCTCAAATGCATACAGTATCAAGCGAATGACATGCTCTACCAAGGCTCACCAGGACTATGTATTTTTTTTAGATTGTGCAATCTTCTTGTTGCAAGGCTTGAACTAGAGATGTTAATTTTAGTTTTATGGGTTTAAATGCAGCAGCAGTTCTGCATTAGTAGTACACAATAGCACCTTAAATGAGTGAAAGTTTTGACAGGCAGATTCACCTGAAGTTGATCTAAGCCATGTTACCACTGTTACTCATAGACAGAGTGGGAAAAGGATCCTTCAGCCTCAAGATCCAATTCAGTGTCCCAGTATACCACCATTAAATCAAAAGTTAGCTTGTAGCAAGCTATTAACCTTCTCAGTAGTAAAAATTCTGTTAAAACTGTCTCCTCTCCAGACAGAACATGTAGCATAGGAAGACAATCCAACTACATCCCAAAGCAGGAGAGGGAACCCCCCACCCAAACTGCTTTACTGCAATGATTCTCAACCAGTGTGCCATGAAATCCTTCAAAAGATGACCAAGCACCAAGGCAAACCTGCCTGGTCCCTCTGCAAGGAGGCAAGTACTATCATAAGTAAGTTTTTGAAATGGGGTGCTACTCAATTCACTGAAGTTATGAAGATGTCTGAAAAAAACCTTGAGAACCACTGTTTGAGACCAGAATGCTATCTATGGGCAAATATCTCAGTAAGTATCCTACACCTTGATAAAATGCATACATCTGCTTATTAGGCCTGTGCAAGTCAGCAGCAATCTGATCCGGCCACTTCGGATGGCCATGATCCGATCTGGAGCTCCGGACCGGGTTTCCACCTCGATCTGGCCAAAGTAGCTCTAAAGCTTCAGAACCGCTTCGGAGATCTGGCCATAGGGTATAATGGGGAATCAATGAAATAACTATAACTTGGTTGGTTTTTTGTCCAATTTGGATGAAACTTGCAGGGATTGTAGCCTCTGCTGAGAGCATGAAACCTGACAAGTTTCAAGAAGATCAGTGCAGGGTTTGGGAGGAACTGTACCCCAAATTCTTGAAAGCCAAACTCATGTCACGTCTATGTGTTATGACACAGGGGGGTCAAAATTGCAGGGCTGGTAGCTCTTACTGTTTTAAGGAGATCGGTGCAGGGGTTTGGGGGCAACTGTACCCCAAGCGGCAGACAAGCAAAACTCGTGCCATGGGTGACACTGCATGTGCTAAGGCACAGCGGGGTGACAGCTGCAGGGATGGTGGTCTCTGCTGTGATGCCTGCCAGCTGTCGAGGAGATCGGTGCACAGGGTCTCTGGGGCCCTACACCCCTAGCTGCTGACAGGCAAAACTCGTGCCAAGACTGTCTCTGTCTTGGGGCAGTTGTCTGTATTGATTCCACTCCTTAGCCTGGTTTTGTAGGTGCTAATTGATGCTTGTTAAGTCATTATGTAGTAGCTAGGTCCTGTGTATTGAGCTGGGCCCCGAGTCCCTGAGTGAATTATGATTGATTGTCTGGTACCTGGGAACAAGGTAGTTTAGCAGCCAGGCCTGCAGCAGCGTCTCCCCTCCCTGCCCCAAGCCAGGGAGTCAGTCCCACAGCACCCATGGCATGACTTTGCTTGTGTACAGCTTGCAGGGCAGTTCCCCCCAAACCCCTGCACCAATCTTCTTGAAACTTGCCAGTCTTCATCCTCTCTGTAGTCTACCACCACTGAAAATTTCATCCAAATAGGACAAAAAATAGCAAAGGTATAAATATTTTATTGTTTCCTCATCATACCCTACGGCCAGATCTCTGAGGTGGCTCAGGAAGCTCCAAACTGCTTCGGAAAGCCTAAGGAGGCCAGCACTTCAACCCGGATGTGCTGCTTTAGACCCCAAAGCATCTGAAGCTCTGTCCGAAACCTCACACAGCCCTACTGCTTACACACTCAAACAGCATGCAGATTTTTTCATTTGTCCTTTAGTGAAGTAGAGTAAGATTCCTCTCCACACACACAGTCTCATGCTTTCTAGCCTCATTCTTAGTCTTCAACAGTACCTGAAGCTTTACACAAAAGCAGCAAGTATTTGCCATGAACAATGCCTTCAGGATGGTTGTACAGCACACTTTTCATTGGCATTCTGAACATAGCACTATTTTTGGAGTGCTGTCAGGTATGACTAGCATGTAAAATGACAAGTCACATCAGTAGTCTGAGCATTACATACCTCCACAGAGGTTTCAAGCAGAATATTCTGACTAGTATTACACTTCAGGTATTGCTGTGTTGTCAGTATAATTTGTTTGCAGGGTAAAATTCACTGGAGCACTAAGTTAGGGTTGGAAAACTTGCCTTATTTTGCAAATTTACCAATTTTAATCATTTTCTCTTGCTGAAAAGGTTGTTTAAATATGATTATTTAAAAACCTTACAAAACTTCTTTGCAAGGCTACTCTTATCAAATGCTAGTATTTTCACTCATAGTTAACTCGTTCTTAAAGGAGTAACATGAAATCAGGATTTTTCCTCAAGTTAATCCCCAATAGGTATATTCAACTTTATTCAGTTGTCTCCACTAGTCTAGCTATGATGCATCACAGCAGACTAAGACTGTACTGCTGGGCATAACTTTAAGGGGTAAGAGACCACCAAACTCAGTAGAGCTGAAAGTGATTGCAAGTTCAACTGTACAAGTCAATGGCTCAAGGAAAATTCTAGAGACCAAAGACTAGATTTATCAGGTGCATTGTTGAAGACCGCTGGGTCTTAGTAAGTACTGGTTTGCTTCCCAAGATCCAGCACTTGCCCAACATTCATGACCTTACCTACCCCATACTGCACTGAGTTCTGAATCAGTAAGGGGCAAAGTCAGTATATATTTAATACTGGAAACCAAGTATGCTACAGCATTACTTTCTAATCCCATTAGTTTACCTATCAAACTAGATTCAGAGACCACCTTTACCACCCCCACCCCCTCAATAGACACAGAAAAGTCAACTTACTACAAAATAATTTATTAGGCAGCAATACGCAGCATTAACACCATGCTTATATACAGGCACATAAAACTTCTACTCTACCCTACTCTGGGACTCTAGCTCTTTTGCCCTTGGCTTTGCGGACCTCTTCAATCAAATCTTTCAAGTACTGGATTTCTTTGCTCAGAGAATCTGCTCTCTCTTTTAGTGTCTGATTCTTCTGCTCCAGCTCTCTGCACTCCCCAGATAGGGCTTCCTGTTCAGCCCTTTTCTTCTGCCGGTAACGTGTGGCAGCTGTCTTATTCTGCTCCATCTTCTTCAATTTCTTATCCATTTTCTTTTCTCCTTTCACCTTAGCTGATAGTACTTTTTCTACAGGATGATCATATGGTTTGGACCACACAGATTGACAGACAGGGACTGTGGGAAACTGGCTGTTATTAGGAGACTCAGACATGGTGGGGCTATGTTGGGGTGTTCCTGGATAGGATTCTGGGCTCATGCATATCCCACTATCATTATCAGAGGGGGATTCCTCCTCTTTTTCACACTTGGGGACCACCTTGGTGGTAGGGGTTTCTGGTTTTCCATCTCCTTCCAGGACATCTACTTCACTGCCTAGCTCTAAACTAAAGGAATGGTCTGGAGTGGATGTCAGAGTCCCTGGGGAAAGAGGGAGTGGAAGGGGAGTGAATGGGGCCACCTGATCTTTTGCATTTGGAGATTCAGGGAGATGAGTGATTGGGTCAGATATCAGTGGAGGCTCTTTGCTGTGGATTTCTTGGGTGGGAGGGTCAAATAGATCACACGTGTCTTCCAACGTGGCCATGAGCTCATCTGGTGAGACGGTGGCTTCCATGTCATCAATACCTAACAACGCATCAAAGTCAAATTCCTTCAGATCCATCTTCTCCACCATCCACTCCATGCCCGAGAAGGCATCCTCTGCAAAACAAGCACATGCATCACAATTTCAGTACAGCAGATGAAATGGTAATTGGAGCCTTCCCAATTTGTTGTTCAAAAATTCTGCTTTCAGAATTAACTTTTTTCTCTACAGCCACTCCCTTTCTTTGCTATATTTTTCTGAGACTAGCAGATCAGAGGTATTGGCATATAAAGCTTCTCCACCTCACAGGACTGCAGGATACAACATAGTTGCTAGGCTACCTTTTGATATTCAACTGCTTCTGGCTCTTCCAAACTCTACTTAAAACTCTCTTAAAATCCTTTTGTAGAGACAACCAAGAGCCAAACAAAAGGAAATTATAAAACTCATTCTTATATCTTGTGGCCCCCCTCTCCCAATGTACCTTATTACTGCAGCATCTGAGTTATAGAACAGCATCAAGATTGAGTACATGCTTCCCAACATTACACATTTCTAAAGGCATATGAACTGTGCTGCCTAGCTACTTGTACTGAAAGAACTTGTACACAAATTTCAGTTTCAGACTGGAATACTGCTAGCTTGCTTAACTCTTCAAGATACCACAATATAAAATAGGGAAGGCGGGGAACAAACTATTAAACTGATGCATCTTCCAAGGAAATAAACTAACACCTTACCCTGGCTGTTATCTGTGGCACTGCCTAAGCTGTCCACAGCCAGCCAATCGAAGGAGACTGCCTTAGCCTTGTCGCTGGAGAACCCATGCGAACTGAGGGGCTCGGCCACCTCCAGGTAGTCATCTGGGAATTCTAGACTTTCCTCAGCCACCAAGCACGACTGGCTGAAGGGGGGTAATAAATCCCCCAACATCATCTCGTTGTTCAAGACGCTCATCTTGGTCAGATTTTAATGTTTTGATGTCAAAAGGTGTGGTCAAGTAGAGGATGTCTTTGTGAACTACAGCAATGCTGCTGCGAGGTACCTTGAGAAACCTGGAGCAAAAATAAGAGATCATGTTATATTATGGGACCGCCACCTGTGCTAAAGTAAATATGAGTACTGAATGTAGTCTACTGAAAGAGAATAGCTGTTCTTAATAAATTAAGCCCCATTTGGAATGCCCATTACATAAAATGGAATTGGGCATTTTCAGTTTTAAGGACCAGAATCTACCTGCGAACTCCCATGTTTTGATCCTTTCCCAAGGGGACTTCCCAGACTGACAGCAAAGCCCTCTCTGTAATAGTACTCCTTTGCCTGCCAACTAAGATGTTGAGCATTTATGCTTAACAAACACCAAGAGGGCGGTTCCACTTCCTCATGACCAAATATGGTCACAGCGACTGATCTGGCCCCTCCCCCCTCTGCCACCACCCAAACGCAGGCAGCAGCTGCAGCCATTTCAGGATCCTCTCTGCCTGCTTCTCTCCCCACCCTATAAATAGACGGCCATTTTGTATCCTGCCACGTTTCCACTGGGGCTAGTTGAATACCACCTGGCATCTGACCAGGCTGCTGCCAGGAACCCAGGGGAGCAAAGGCATGTTCAACTGCCAGGATTCCCAGTGGGTGAGGACAGAAATAAAGCACTTGCTAGAGAGGACATCTAGGGATAAAAGGGCTGGCCAGAGATGCATTAAAAGCCATGTAGCCATGTCTGGCAACTTCAGCCTCAGCACAGCCCTGGTTCTAGTGTTTCTATACACAGAGTCTGGGTGCTGGAGAGGAGACTCAATGAGCATCAGGGACGCAAAAGGTCCCTAATTATCATGCACACCCACGTATGGAGTGACCCCCTCCCCCACCCCCCATAAGGGGCTCTTCCTGCCCCAAGACAGTGTTTAAAATGGCGTTCTCCTCCATATGGGTAAGTGGCCTCTTCCTCATATCCCCCGCCCGACCCAACATAGTATCTCCCCCTCCGCAATCGCATGGGGCGCGATGGAATGCGCCGCGCAGACGGTACCACTTCTTCCCCCCCGGAAAGGCCAATTATCTCCCAGTGACTAGCGATCTGCTCCAAGAGAAACCAACTAGTGAGACTGGGGGAGAGAGGGTCTTCAGCGCTCCACAACCCGCCTCGGAGAGACCATTCCCCCCACGCGGGGGAGATGGGGGGGTTCACCCCCGCGCGTCCCCCAGCGCCTACTCACGCCATGGTCGCAGACGCCGGGGAGGTGCCGGGGCAGCCGCCGCTGGTGCTGCGCCCGCTGCACTGGCCGATGCCGCTGCTGGCCCTGCCGCCCCTAAACAGCCATGGCGGCGGGGGCGAGCGGCAAAGCTGGCTGAAGCTGCTGCTCCGATCGGGACACGACGCAACAGAACGCAAGCATGCAGAAGCTGCGCAGGACAGACAATGAGGTGGCGTAGTGTCTCCGGCGCTTATATATGGCAGTCGCTTGGAAAAAGTTCCGGCAAGCCCAGCGTCCGGGAATCCCTCCGCCTAAGCGTCCTCAGCTAAGCTAGGGCACGTGGACTAATTGTTCCCCGCTGCCTCCCCAGCCCTCCGTGGGGAACTACACACGGTCCTGGTTTGGCCTTGCCAGCTCCCCTGCTGCAACATTCCCCACCCCCACCGGAAACGCGGAAGGATCAAAGGGACTATCTAGTATCGCGTCAACGGAATCACTTGATCCAGCTCGCGTGGGCGGGCGAGCGAATTCAATGAGTTCGTCACACACGTCCCCCGCGTGGTCCGCGAAGCGCCGATTGGGTGTTTGGAAGAGGATCACGCGCGTCGGGAGCTGCCATTGGCCAGAGGCGCAGACTGCAGGTAGGCAGGGGCAGTTGAGCACGGAAGCGGAGCCGGCTGACAGCTTTGGCGCGCGCCGAGCGGAGCCGCACAGTCTCCAGCAGCGTGGCCCGTATGGCAGCCCAGAGCTGTTGTTGCGGGGGTGCTGGTTGTAGCCATAGTGCTCTAAAGACAGGGGCAGACGAGGGCAAATGTGGTCTCTCTTATTAGACCAACTAATCAAAGATACCACATTTACCCAAAGACCCTCGTCAGCCCCCAGCCCTGCCCTGCTGCCCTCATGCAGTCCCACAGCCCTGGCCATGGCTGCCCACTGCAGCCAGCCTGACACACGCAGGCAGCTGGCCAGCAAACCCGCCAGGGCTTCTGCTCCCTGTGATAAGGGATCATTGCAGCATCCCCTCCTCATCTTAGTCCTTGCATGCGGCCGTTGCCCTTCCTCCTCTGTGGAGATTATTAAGGGCTTGGGGCAAGACCAATCCCTGCTGCTTATGTGCGTGGGGTGGCAGAGCCCCGGATCTGAGGAGGCCTCTAGGTCATGCCAGGGTGGGGAGGACAATGTTTGGGCTTCGTGGTTGCAGGTCGGAGGGGCTGCGGGGGTGTGCTCGCACCAATCTCGTCTCTCTCGAGTGTGTTTTCACAGGCTGCTTCCCTGCCCCGCATCAGCGGGACATTGGCAGTGCCTTTGTCCCCACTGGCTTTCTCCAGGGCAGGTTGGGGTGTCCATGGTGTTGGGGCACTGAGCCTCAGCGTGGTTCAAACAGGCTGGATAGGCGCTGGTTGTGGATGGTGTAGTTCAGGGTAATCCTGCCACAGGTAGGGGTTAGACTAGATGTGATCCCCTGTAGTCCTTTCCAGCCCAACTTTTCAACGATTTCTCTGAACCTTCCTAGGGCTGTGGCATGTTCTGGCTGCCTGGTGAGTTGAACCACTAAGGAAAACGTTCTTCTGGATGATGCAGCCTCTTGACCAGAACAGAGGAGGGGATCCCCTGCCCAGGCGAGGAAAATGTTCCCTTCTGTTTCATATCAATGCAATAGCATCACTTCCCTCTTCTTGAAGGTCAGAGTCACATCATCCTGACAGCCTAGCTGTCCTAACGCGCAAGTTTATGCTGCATTGGATTGATTTGGTTTACAAAGTATTCGCCCTACTGCCAACCTTGCCAAATGCAGCTTGGCCTCTGGGAATCAAGTTTGATTCTTGCTTGCTCAGACATTGCCACCAGAAATAAAAGTTTACAGGTCGAACTGCCCTCAGCTATTTCTGGCAGTGGCTTTATTGTCTTCCAGTTCTGTCTTTATCACCATTTTTTAAACGCTGTGGCCTTCACTGGATTTGCACAGGTGTAACTCATGGAACCGAGTAAATAATGATGGAGATAATCTGCAAGGGCAAAGAGAGTTCCAGCCCCCAGTCTTAGCTGTGCAGGCTCTGCAGGGCTGAAAACAAGAACAGGTTGGCTATATATCATCGTCATCAATGATCACTAACAGCAGCATAAATTACTCTGAATCCACAATTTGAAAAGCTCTTATCAGTATGGCTTTCCTTTTTAAGAGCAAAAAAAAAAAATCATATTTTGAGATGAGAGTCAAGGAGGGGTGGGGGGAGTGCTTTCCAACTCAAGACACCACAACAGCAATTCAGTGATCCATAATGACCGTTCAGACAAATGCACCAAGGACTGAAGCAAATCTTTGCTTTGGCCCACCACTGAAGGAAGGCAGTGGCTTTGGAAGAAGCAAGATGGGGGATTGGACACACAGATGGGTGGACACTGTCACAGTACCATGATTGGTCCACAGGAAGACTTCCATTCTTCCCCCCACCCCCCATGGGCTCTGGCCCCTCCTATAAGTGAAAAGAAAAGTGGGGATTGTAAAGCTGTAATTGTGGCTAAATAAATGGAAACTATGTGCACACCCTACCCTTTCTCTTGAAAAGATAATTATAGATTAACATGAAAGGCTGAGAATACATCTGAGCAAGAATCATGCAAGCAGAAACAAGCAGACAATGAAGAACTTAACCTGGATCAGCCTTTTTGGAGTCTGTCTTACTTTCTTTACCTGCAATTTGTACAAGTAAACAGATACGAACAAAAATCCTGTATCAACCCCCGTGCAAGAAACAAAATTAACCAATGAACAACCAGTCTTTAGGTAACTACAAGGTCATCTCTCAGTTTCTTAGAGGACTATACCCTAACTAGTATTTATTATATATATACAAAGACGACAGTGTATGGATTTCCGTTAAAAAAACACCCATTTGCATAGAACTTGCTGAATGTTTCTTTCCTTTGGATGCGATTTTCTCTTCTCAGCCAGAAGATCTGAAAATTAAGTAAACATCTTTGGGGGAATTTTTGAAGGAGGAGAGAAATTAAAACTATTTTCTATGCAGACAATGCAGGATAGTCCTTTCTTACTATTAAAAACATCTGAAAAAAGACTTTGTTGTCAATATGCAGTTCAGGCAAGCCTAGTAAATGGGAAGAAAATCATGTTTACAATAAAAAAGGTTTATAACTAGAAAATAATTGATGTACCTGCTTAGCAAACACTTACTAAAATGTTAACATTTTCAGTATTGTTGGCTTATGTTTCACTGGGTAGGATATCTTTGAAATGTATAGACAGGCTCCAGTTGCTGAAAAAAGCTCTTTCCACACACAGCTTCCACACATAGGCACAAAGACCTGCAATGTGTGGAGCTCACTGGGGATGGAGGCCACCCTGACCTGGCTAGAAAGCAAGGAGATACAGCCCAGCAGTCTTTTTTGGCCAGTCACGGAAGGGAAGCTGCCAATGAGGTATACACATGAGGGAGATGGCATCACGGATATTTTCATGTACTCAAAAGCTTTTAAGGGCAAATAAGTAGGAAAAAAAAGGAGAGAGAAAGTGATGGGCACAGCAGCTGTGCAGATTCCATCATTTCAGGCCATTTACTACATTCCACAATTATACATGTATTCTATTTTTTATAGAAAAAAAGGTTTGATCTGTTCGCTATAGAGAGAAGAGCTGTCATGGAAAATGCAGAACTGCTAACACTGCACTGCAAAAAAATAATCTCCAGCCAAACAGCAGCACCACCACTTGGACGGAAGGAACCCCTCAATCTTTATTTGCCTTACCCAGGTGTGGGCTGCAGAGCCCAAACAGGCCGTTTCAAAGTCAAAAGGATTTCCTTCTTCCTCAAAGAAGTGTGTACAAGATAAAAATGCAAGACAAAACCCTGATAAATTTAAATACACCAACAGCAGGAAATGAGCTTCCATAGCAAGATTAGCTCACCCGCAATAAACCTCCAAGTTCTATGCAGGGGGGAAGCGGTAGAAATGTGTGCTAATAGCAGTATGCAGGCTGCATATCTTCCTTCATCTGGCTCCAGAGGTTCAGCAGAAAACAAATAGTATATTTTTATGCTTTCTTATATGTTCTGGACTGGAGCACTGTTCTAAAGGCAATCACAGACTGGGAGAGTTCTCAGCAGTGCAGTTCCATTGGCCCAGAGTCTGGGCAGGACAAGGAAAGATGGAAGGAACCAGAAGCAATAGAGACACTGAGCCTCTAACCAGATGGTTCTCGATTCCTGCAAATGCCCCCCGGACTTTCTCAATTCTCTGGAGATCTGACAGATGCATCTGGAAACAGGCGTGGTAGCACACACTTTCCACTGGGGAGGCTAAATCCTGTCCCACAAAGAGACACCTTGGGGAGGATGTCTAGGAGAATTCTTACAGCAATTCGCATGCCCCAAAACAATCCTTGCAGGTAGGATTTCACACAGGAGCGAATACTGGGGGCCTTGGCTTTACTTAGATTTTTTTTTTGGTGCAAGTGTAGGCAACTTTCTCCTTGAAACCAACAGGAGTTTTATCGTGAAGGGGACTGAAGAGAGTCAGCATTAGAGTAAATGTGCATTAGAAGGAAACCTCCTCCTCAGTTCCTAGGGAAATTACTTTCAGACAATTCAGAGCAAGGAAAATCCTCTTAATGTTCAGTTGTCAATTGTTCTTTGACATTCAATACAAGAAGCGGGAGCTGATGTATATTTTTCTTGATGTCTCACAGTCAATTTTCACTGGTTGCTTTGCAGGCTCAGGACTTTCCATTTCAAAACTAGATTGATAAACAAATACAGGCATAATCAAGGGTCAAGCTGTGGACATTTTTATTCTTTTTTTTAATCTTCTACAAACAGGAAAAAAGTTAAACTGCACTATGTTCCTCCTCTATTCTGGACTAAAACACCAATGAGCTCAGAGTCTTTAATAAGTCAACCACCCATCCACCTCTCTACATTCCCAGTGTGTTCTGTAAACATCACTGACATTTCAAAATTAACAGGAAAAAAAGATGAAATAACTTCAGATTATGAATGTAAAATGATTGCAGACAAATAAGGAAGCACTCTTGGTTGTCTACCTAAATTCCTTCTAGCCAGACCAACCTGGATGACCAGCTGGAGAGAGATTCTTATATTACTGTTACACTAGCTGATCTGGATATGCCATATATCCACTGATCACCTATTCTCTATAAATCTCAAGAGGCTT